GCCAAATTGGCCGATCAAAGTTTTACATAGGAAAATATAGGAAAAATCTTTAAAAATCTTCTTCTCAAGAACCACTGGGCCAGGAAAGATGAAACTCATGTGGAATCATCCTCAGGTAGTATAGATTCAAGTTTGTATAAATCATGACCCCCGGGGGTAGGGTGGGGCCAAAATGGCCGATCAAAGTTTTACATAGGAATATATAGGAAAAATCTTTAAAAATCTTCTTCTCAAGAATCACTGGGCAAGGAAAGATGAAACTCATGTGGAATCATCCTCAGGTAATGTAGATTCAAGTGTATTCAAATCATGATCCCCTGGGGGGTTAAAATTCAATGCCCCCCCCCCAGTATACTTTCAGTTCTGATATGTGCTTTTTCCTAGCAAATTGCTCAGGTAAGCGATGTGGCCCCTGGGCCTCTTGTCTTAAGTTGTTATTAAATTTGGTCAAGTTACGCCTTGAATTATTGAATACTTTGCATTTTCCAGTATTTAAAATGACTTATGAATATACCCATATTTACCACTGACTTACATGTACATATAATTTTTAAAACATTTTCTGTGTAGCATAAAATTGAAACAAGGTGTGTATTTTTTGTGAGAATAATTTGTTGGTTTTTCCTAGATTTTATTAAATGTTCAGTAAAGATTTAAAGTAGCCAAAAGTCTCAATTTTCCAAATTTTCTGGTTGTTTCCATGGCAACCAAGATACTTAGCAACCAAATTGTTTACTTGATATTTATTTCTGGTTTCAAGTAGTACTAATTGGAAAAGTTTCATCAGAATCAGTGCATGACAATGAATTTAAATTGTTTATAGAAAATGGCTATTAGAGAGCAAATTTTTGCTAGATTTTGAGTTATCTACCCTTTGTAAGAGATTTCAGAAACAATAATAAAACAATTAATTTTGATTTATTTAATTAAAAAGCTTTAAAAAAATTGAAACCATTTATTATTCATTTGATTTCTTATATTTATAAGAAAAAACTGTTTGGAAAAGAAATTTTATTAAACAACTAGTGTCTGGTAAAACTTTGAAAAAGAAACAAATTATTTGGCAAAATGCCAATTTTCAAAGTTAAAAATATTTTAAACGAATAAAATACCCACTCTACTTTTCATAAAAGTTGAATAACATTATTATAGTGTTTTTAAAATTTCAGTTGATTTTTTCTCATAGTGCCTGCAATCCTTGATGGACCTCTTGAAAAATAGGGTAAAAATGGCCATTTTCGAAATGTTAGAATTTGGTCATCTTTGAGCCACCAATTGAAGAATTTGCAGTGACATTTAGAATTTTTTTTTATTTGTGTAATATATTGCTCCGAATGTTCTGTTCATATAATGTATTATTTATCTTATAAAAATAAAGATGATTATACCATATGAAATGAATTATACAGCTTTTTTATGTGTGAAATCGGCGTAAATGGGGCCAAAATCTATTTTTGTCCGTTACCATGGCAACCAAGGTGGTAACCTTAATTTTGAATGTTGATTATGTCATACCATATGGGGATTAATCACCTGAAAAAGTTTCATTGAAATCGCCCATGGTGTGTGCCACAGCCCTACAGTAAGATTTTGGTCCTTACAGAGAATTTTATGTTAAGAAGTACTTTGATTAAATATTTTTATCTTATTTCATTCCGGCTCAACTATTGCTCAATATATTATGTTGTATTTTGCATGTTTCATGCATGGATAAAGGGGGTTTATATTGTTAAAATAAAGGGTCAAGTCCCCTTGCAAGGGGATGAATTAAAAAAAAAAGAGAAGAAGACAAAATTAGGATGGGGTCATTAAAAACTTTCTTCTCAGGATCCACTAGACAACAAAATAATTAGGGCCACAGTTAAGGAATCCTAGGTTTACATTGAAATATAAATATCTGAAAAAAATCTTTAAAAATTGTCCATTCAAGAACCACTGGGCCTTTTCTGAAAATTATATGGAAGCATCCTGGGACAGTGTAGATTCTAAATTGTTCAAATTATAAACCCCTGGGATATGGTTGGGCCAGAATAGGGAATCATTGTTTTGCATTAAATATATTTGAATATTTTTAAATTCTTCTTCTCAAGAACCACTGATCTAGTAAAACTGAAACATATGTGGAAGCATCCTGGGGTAGTGTAGATTCTACATTATTCAAATCATAACCTCCGAGGATAGGGCGGGGCCACAATAGGTATTAAGAGAGGAAATATGGGTCAGAATGATGGCCTACATTTCTTAGATGAGCGATGTGGTCCATGAGCTTCCTGTTCAAAGAAGAATGAATCTAGTATTTTTCAATTAATTGTCAACTCTCCTTACTTACGAAGAATTATGCCATTACCTCTAGTATATGGGGTTATATAATATGTCTCTAAGCTGATTTCTTACACAATAATATGTTCTACATATGAACAATTTCTTAAACAAGGCAAGTTATTGACAAAAGAAGGTTATGCAATAGGAATATCAACTATCTCGATTAAAATCACGTCATCATTTTGCAAGTTCGGTACAATAACTTTGTCAGTAAAACAATCTGTCAGTAACACATTAATAGGAAGTATGGCAAATGCAATTTAAAAAAAAAATTGCCATAATAACGACCATATCTCTCTCTCTCTCTCTCTCTCTCTCTCTCTCTGAAGAAGATAATTACGTATAGTAAATAAATGTATTTGCAGAATTGGGGATGTAAGCTGACCATGACGTCCTTTGTGTATACTCTACTCGCCAGTACGGTATGGCTCAATGTGGACGCATCTGTCCTTGTCTGGATGATCTGTTGTAACCCGTGGTATTTTCAAAAAAGAAGCAACATTTTCCCACATCTTTTGATAGGATGGGGTAAGAAAGGATGATATCAATATTCATAATTGTTCAATATTCTGACATACAAATATCTTACCTCTTTGGACAGTGTTGATTAATGATTTAAGGACATACGCACCGTACTTTTGAACTTAAATTTCTGAATATCTGTAAAATTAGAAGTTCCAATTATTGAAGGACCTGTTTGAAATTTTACGATGCTAGGCAATACAGTACACCACCTCTAAATAAAATTTATGGGAAATACTATATCGATTTTAATTTTTCTTGGAAAAAATACCAGAATTTTCATCATTTTATATCTTAGCAAATCACCTGGTTAGATCATCTTTTATACTATGATTTCAAATTGAGGATATCTATAGAAAATTATAATTGAAAAAGGATATTGATTGTTCAAATTGTTGAGTGAACAGTTATTGAAATAATGTTTTTGTTTGCACAACAATGTCTGTTGGTTCCACATTGTGTTAAAATAATTAACCTTTACTTGCAGATGGGCCTTTGCTTATTGTGATACCATGGGTTTGTCTACGGATTTACTTAGATGATGAGATGTGAGCGTTTATTCTTCGTCCTTTCTTCATTTTAAGCATTAAGCTCTTTTTTACCAGCATTTCAACAACAAATAATGAAAGCCACTTAATTATGTATCTAATGTATCTAATTTTTACAGGTTTTGGATGGCGATCGATATTAACAACTACGAGTCTTGGGAGGCTTGGTTGTTCTTAGGGCCTGTGCTTGTTATTAATTCGGTGAGAATACATGTACTTTGAATTTAGAAATTGAATTTATCATTAAAAAATATTACCACAATTATTTTTTTGTTACTTTATGAAAAGAAAATTAATATAATTTCTTTTTCCTTATGAAGTAATTGTCATTTATCCTCAGTAAAAAATATCTAAAGAAAAGTATCATTATCAACGTTCATTCGGAATAGATATGCAAATCAAGGAATCAGTTATCTCGATCTAATGTAATATTTCTTTAACTAACTGTAACTACATTGGATGCAACAGTGTTTAGACTTAAAGTTCTTTTTATGGAAAAAAATGTCATTAAGGTCAAGGTCTAGTAAATGGCTTTAGACTAATTTTTTTGTGCTAAATCCATTATGACGTCATAATCAATTTCAATTTTCTTTTTCCCGTATTTTACTGCCTTAGTAGAATTATGTAGAAAATAGGGTATTTTAATGACAGTCATTTTGAAATCATATGAAAAGTAATTATTTTAAAGAAGAGGCCAAGAACATACAAATCACCGTTTTCTGAAAGACTGTAGGCAATCTGGATACATTTCCTTTGTCGAATATGAAAAAAACTCATATTTATGACTGGTTTTCCTCATTTTTCATTGAAAATGACAGTTTAAGATATGGTCTTTCATCTTGTTTACCTACAAATTATGCCCCGAAACACCTTATTTGGCCAAGCTTAAGTTGTAAGGCATCATGAAAGGAATTTATTTCTCAAATTTGATAAATCTGTAGGCATCCTTCATTTACCAGATCTTGACCTTAAATTCAAATTTTTTTTTTTTTCAGGTAAACATTGTTTACTTAATCCTGATAGGAAGATTTGTAATAAAGAACCACATGATGAAGAAAATTACCAACAGCTCAACAGAGTTGTAAGTATTTATCATCAGTAAAAATCGACACGTAGCCAAATATGTTACACAAATAATGCAAATTGATCCTATGAAGAAACTTGGAGAGAGAGAGAGAACGGGGGAGATTGTTTTTTTTTTATCATCAAGAATGACAATTTCAAACAATTTTATTACTGGTTACATAGTGATAAATTTAAAGTTTCAGAAGGCATATAGCAGTGGTCCAAAAGAACACACCATTACTACAATGTTGTAAGTTATTCACGAAAAGCAAAGCTACTATCAATACAGGCACAAATATGACTTTAATTTGATGCTAGCCTGGATGAAATAAAGCTTGTGCAAGATTTTGCAATTGCAATAATAATCAGACCTAGACATTTCTAATTTTCTTTTCCATTTCTTTTTACAGAAATACTGCTAAGCATATCTGCATTATTATTCCTTTACTTGGAGTTCCTGACATTGTACTCACCATTTTGTCATTTTGGCCTAATATCCATTTCTTGTATGCTGATATGTTTTTCAGTTCATTCCAGGTAAATTACTTTATCATTTATGAATTTCATAAGTTTTATCAAGCTGCTGTAACTACCCCGTTGTCTTTATATCAGATAAAACCTTACATTTTTTATACCCCCGCTTGAAAAGTGGGAGGGTACATGTATATAGTAATCATGATGTTCGTCCGTCCGTCTGTCCATCCGTCTGTTACACTCTGGGGTTCCCATCTCTTATCCGCAACTCCTCTCATACCACTTCATGAAATTTGATTATACTTACACAGAATCTTTATTACATATTGCCATTCTGTACTTCCTATATTACTTTTTTACCCGACACATATTTTGGGTTTCCGTTAGCAAAACATGGACCATGCCATTATATTCATATGGGAGGTGGGGGTATCTATTTTTTTCACTACAAAGCACATATGATATTAAAGTTAGGCTTATATAAGATATCTGTCCTCACACGCATTCATTTTAAATCAACTAATGAAAGTGAATTTTTTTTAATTTCAAAATGTTTTAATCAAATGATTAAAAAGTAAAATAGGAGGTGCACATGTACAATGGCAATATATACGATTCTATTAAGGTCTTATCAAATTTCATTCAGTGGTATGGAGTTGCGGATACATTGAAAGAGATGGGTACCCAAAGCGTAACAGATGGACGTACGGAGATTATTGACTAATAGTTGACCTTGATATAACTTACATGTACTATCTTTCCTTCAGGGTTTCATGTTAGCTGTGAGCTTGTGTTTAACGGAAAGAAAGGTTTGAATTTGTCTGTTGTATTGTTTGAAAACAGATTGTTTTGAAGCAACTACCTTTTTGTTCTTTTAAAAGAAAAAAAAGAACATTTAACTTTTAAAATACATTTGCTTGATATGAAAAAAAAATTATCTCATATTTATTCTCTCTTATGTTCAATCGAAAAAAAAATAAAAATTTTTTTTTTCATATTACAGGCTGTCAAAGATTTTAAAAGCCTTGTTTTACCTTGTACATCTTTAACAAGAAAAGTTTCTAGGTCATCTTCTACTGGAGAAAACGCGAGTGTTAATACAAGCATTTACCAACTGATGAATCATGGGAGCTCAACAGTGCCTAGTGTGTAATGCACAAAACTGTAATTTTGAATGAGTAAATTAAAGTTTTACTGATATGTCTTATAAATAAAACTTGAAACAAATTAGCATGTTTAATCATTAAGTGTTCCAGTGAACAGCAATGTGATTTACACATATTACGTATTTCTCACTATCCCCTTTTTATGGTGTTTATATCTCCCAATTTTTTCGCCACTCAAGAGCTTGCTCTAAGTGTCATTAATTTTTAAAGTAAGACAAGCTACTTCCTGATAAGTTGATGTTACAAAGATTTCAATAAACTCATTTTTAGTCGTATTTTCGTACATTCTACGGTCAATGTAAAGAACCAGCAATCAAATATTACCTATCATAGTGTCGTATTCGGGTGAGTGTTTCGTGCCTATTGTTATTACGCCTTTGTGTTTATACTGATTTTCATGGGAACAGACGCCTTCGGCGTAAACAATCCATATTGACTGACAGATGGGAAAGTCATATAAAGATATAAAAAATTTTAAATGTTTTAATAAAAAGATAAAACGATATTATTTTTAAAAATTAAATTCCTTGTGAAATTCTTTTAAAATGCCACATCCCTTCAGTTTTGGTCTTATATAAAGAAGACTAGATGCGGAAACAGACTATCCCTAGATAAGCCAATATGTGTCCAAAACGTATTGACTAATTGTTGGTTGCTTTAATTATCTAGTTCTTGCTCTGGAAAAGATAAATGGTGAAATAGTGGTCAATTTTTTTTTATCAAGTTACTTTTAATATCCTATAAGAGGACGCTGGGAAATACATGAAACATATTCATAATGAAACGTGGAAATAACAAACAGTATTCAAGATCAGAATTCCATAAAACAATACAAAATAGGAGCAGAGCAAACACGAACCTCCAAAACATCAGAGGTGGGATAAGGTGCCATGGAGGAGTGAGCATCCCCCGCCAACCGGTCACACCCGCCGTGTGATCCTTGTCATGATCTAGAAATAACAGAAAAATCCGTCATCAATTCGGTGTATAAATAATAAACTAACATTTAGTGCGAAAAACGTCTGTCAGCATTTGACTCAATGATAAATGGTATTTTCCGATAAGGTCATTGTATCGACGATAGTAAACTTTTTTCAGAAAACCAAGTCAAACATGGATCTCTGTCGCCAAAATAGGTAGCCATGGTCATAATTTGCTATTCTGTCATAAATATAGAAACAATTTTTTCTTAATTTACATGAATCACAAAATCAAATGATTATCATATGCAAGTTAAGAAATTAGTGAAAGGATTTATTTTAAGAAATTAAGAAGGAGAGAAAAGAGGGGAACTAAATATTCAATATTTTGTTAATTATAATATTCACGTTTTTTAAATTGACAATATATTGTAAAGTTTATTCTATGATTATACTATAGTTATTTAAACAATAAAATGCTTTCTTTGTTTGTAATTACTGGAATTAACGGAAGCAGCTGTTGCAGAAATAGCAATTCTGCAATTGATTGCCATCCCTAGTTATTTCTGTTAATTAAATATTTTTCTATAATCTTATAGTTACATGTGACTGTCATTTTAAACATCATAATTAAATTAAATCTATTTATAAACGTACGTATGATGACCGCGAGTGCCTCTTTTAAAATTGTGAATTTCAAAGCCCCTGGGTCAGGGATTCTAGCCTTAGAGCAGGGCTTCAATGATTGTATAGTAAAAAATACATTAATTCTTTGAAAAAGGTAGCTGTTTATATCTTTTTCTGCAACATGTTCGACATAGTTAACCAAATACATGTAAAGAATTTTATGGTTTCAGTTTTCCCAAAATTCTGTGTCAAATTGTACCTGCGCCCATTTTATTGTCCAGGATGAAATTAAAATGTTTTGAATGTATCAGAAGGATGGATAAGGCGTTATCGCCATTAGTTATTGTTTTGTGGTCTTAGTCCAACATTAAAAGAAAGAAAACTTTCCTTTGTTAATATTGCTGTCTTTAATTCATCATACAAAGTACATGTATACATGTATATGTAAATTATTATATTATTGATCTGCACGTCATGGTACATTGATGAAAGACCTCTTTGCTTAAGAACGCTTTCATACAAACTGGTCCAACTATACTAGTTATGATTATCATAAGAAATATTGGTGAAAATATTCACTTGATGTGGATATACATTTTTTGTAGATTTTTTTTTTTATCATATATTCTCAATATATATAAATGAATAATAAAGTAAAGTCAAGTAAACTTCAAGTTAAGGGTATATTATCCTTATACAGACGTTTTTTCTGTGTCTTTTACAAATTTATCAAACAAGTGTTCCTTCCTGGTGTACAACTCTTTAAATTAAGATAGAAACATTTGGAAACCTATCTTTACATGTGTACATTTTCATGAAATTGTTGTTTAACGCACTCCATTCTAAAATCTGTAGCTTCTTTTATTTTGTGGATTGGATACTGTCTTAGCGACTCTTCATAAGACCGTAACGCCCGTGTAAGTCTCCCACAACATGCTGACAGATTCCTAGTATCTGCCAGGATAGGTCTCTGATGTGTAAAGGAACGTATCTCCCGTCATCATAGAGCAGCAGTGTCTGTAGGTCTGTCAGTGACTGTTAACACTGAGATCTATTACCCAGTCTATAGTGAGATAACACTGACAACATCTCTACCATAACAAAAGGTGATAAATGTAGGACTGACTTTCCATGTTCTTGACTCACATTTTGTTCTAAACGTAATTCTTCAATATAGGGAATACTTTCAAATATATGAACAAAAGACACACATGCTGTCTTCATTCTTCGAGACAAAGACATATTACCTACAGCTTCATTGTACCTCTGCCTATCAACAGTTCCATTATACATAATAAAGTCCTGTGACAGTCTTCGTTTAGTGAGATAAATGATACGTACTGTCTTATCATATCTTCTTGTTCTATAGTAATACAAACCTAGATACAGTAAATCAGACAGAGGACCTAATCTTGCTGCCATTTTCAATATGCCACAAATTATTGAATCTAAGTTATAGATATTTTTATGCGGCGTGCAACATGAAGCACTGTTTGTCATTATGAAGGCTAAACTAACAAGAGTCTCAGCAGTACTGTACTGTAATGTTAACAACTGGTGTGGTGAGATTGATAATTTAAACCGAGATAGTGTGTTAATTGATTTTAAACAAAGATAAGATTCCCACCTTTTTGTAGAAGTAAAGGTTGTATTAAATATTTCAGTTATGCCACATAGATCTAAATCTGCAACACTCATGAATTCTCCCTCAGCAGCGGACAACACACAGGGCGGGCTACTGAAGGCTGGTTCTAGGATTGATCTGAGAGTCGGACTCAGCAGTAAACAGGACACGCTCATTCTGTAATACTGATAAAGCTGTTGTAAAAGAGATTCACGTGCATCATTAAAAACTTTGTTTATAAACATGTTGTTACAATGAAAAGTTTTTCATATGTATGTATTATGTATCACGGTGACCAAATTCAAATAACAATGTGTGTCGAAGAGTAATCTGTTTGGAAATTTATTTACGAGCATTCTTTGCGTTCTTGGTAGACGAATCCCGTCGTTAAATTTATTTTATATATATTTTTTAAAAATTTGTTTGTATATCTTAAATGAATTTTAATTAAAAAGTCAAAAGAGACAAGGTAATAATTGAGCAATTTTTTGTTGAGATCTTTAAAGGATATATATATTAATTAACAGTCGTAACATTACTTTTTTTTTATTAAACGCTTGTTTAAGTTTTACTTTGTTGTGTTTTAATCAAACTTTATCTTCTCTTTCATCAAAAGATTATTTCAAAATATTTTTTTCCATAAACCCTGTCATTGTATTTGATTCTCAGATTTTAACCCCACTTTTAAATACTTGAAAATGTAGTTTATTATTTTATCAATGATTATTATTCTTATTTAAATTTTTAAGACACGAGGTTCATCATCAACACTCTAACTCATCCTCCTTTTTATGTATATGGTCGATTTGTCTACTTGGTTTGAACTTTTTATCACATTAAATATAACGTTTTATAGATGCTCTCAAGTGAATGTTGGATTTATTAATAAATAAAATATTTACAATTAAACAAATACGGTTGATTGCAAAATAATGTCATATGTTTTAATAAGATACGCTGTGTGAACAAAGAAATTGTATTGTGTGTGTATTTAATATCATTTATTGTAAATCAACAAAAGATGAATATTTCATGATATCCGTCTTCAGATCTCTTTCGGAAGTTTAAATAATTGGTTTTGCCCTGACTGTTTTAGTTTATCCCCGTCAAAAAAGTAGAAGAAAATACAGTCGTAAATGTAGTATATTTATTCTAGTTTACTAAATTCTGTCTATTATTTACCTATCGTCACTTTCCTTGCTTCCCTTTCAATAAACCCTATAATAAAATGTAGTCTTCATCTTTTTTCTTGGTAATATTTTTCATTGTAATATAATTTCACAACAAATTGCACGTGACATTTCAGGATAGTAAATGATAATTAAACCTTCACGTGTACCACCATGTCCATTCAAAAGACAAAATCAGAAGGAAACACTAACCAGAAGATGAACACTACTCCAATAGTTCTCAAGCCAACCCATTTCATTCACTAAATCAACATAATTATGATTTGAAGGTTCAAATTTCAAATTTTATATATCATGAACGATGAATGAACATATTACATAATCGACGTTGACTTAAAGTGTATTCGATATTATGTGCCTTATGGGTTATATCATTAAGGCAAATGCTAACTGGCGTTTTTTATACCAATCGTCAGACCATTATTCATATGCCTGATTATGAATACATTGTACACAGTATATGTAGGATAACACGGTGATAAGACCGGTCAACAAAGGGATGCTTATTCCTCCATGGCACCTGTTTCACCTGTGTTTCAATTTGAAATAATTTTGCATAATTTACTATTAATAGCATTTAAAAAAGCAGGAAAGGGGATTTCAACACTTTTTAATCCTTAATTGCATTTTCGCATT